AGCCCAATCTCCAACACAAAGTGGATTGAATTACAAACCCATTTAACTTATGAGTAAAAAGGTTCACAATTTCTCATTCTAAACGTCTTATGATTTCTTGATAAACATTGACCTCAGATTTGGATAATTTTTCAAGGTACAAAAATCTCCAATCCCTTGGCATGCTGTCAACATTCGGGTTTCCTTCCTTTCAAACCAAAATTTAATATAAACAATGAAAAAATATAAAATAATTGTTGCCTATATGAACTTGGCTTGGAACAGAACCCAAAGTCCCCACCACCCATGCCAATTTATTAGATTCTTTATTATTCTCATTTATATTATTTTATTTGTTTTTTGAGGCAGAAATCGGGTCTCACTTGATGTTTGATTTTCCAAAGCGCATCTGTGCGTAGTCTCCACTTGGACCAATAACAGACGTCCAGACTGGGAAGAATACAAACAGAAGCCTCTTTCGGTTACATGACATCAGCGCTTACACAAGAAAGAGCCCATTCATTATTTCATTTCATACAAGAACCCTTTCTTTTTCTTTAGACACACTTTTTCCCTATATTTTTCCTAATTTCACAACGGTGATGGTTTCTTAAAACTTTTTCTTCTCTCAACTCAAGTGCTATCAAATTAATATAAAATGAAACTAATTAGAATTTTGATTCTTTTGAAAGAAAATTAAAAATCATAATGTTGCCAAATAACATAACTACTTGCATTGTGATGGTCAATGGGTCTAGTCCAGTGAAAAAGGGCATTGACTTGTAGTTGTAGACATCTAATCTCACATTCGAATCTCATGATAACTTGATGACTTGTATTGCGATTTCTGGGCAGCCCATGTCTTTTTTCTTTCTAGAGCAAGAAAGGAAGTTAACATGCAATAATACAAGTCATAACATCTAGGGACCAAGTCATATTTACCAAAATAGAAGGTTTCATCAATAAATACAAGAAAGCCTAGGAGACCTTCGCAAAATTCCATAGTGAAAGTCAAGCATAAAAGGCTAGGATATCATAGCTCAAATTAACAGAAAAAATGGCAGAAGTGAAGCTCTTTAGGACATGGTCAAGCCCTTTTCCTTTGAGAATAGTTTGGGCACTGGAACTCAAAGGTGTCCCATATGAAACAATCTATGAAGATCTTTCAAACAAAAGCCCTTTGCTTCTTCAGTATAACCCTATTCATAAGAAGGTTCCAGTGCTTGTGCACAATGGAAAACCAATTGTTGAGTCACTTGTAATTCTTGAATACATTGATGAAACTTGGAAGGAAAACCCCTTGCTGCCTGAAGATCCTCTTGAGAGAGCCGCCGCACGCTTTTGGGCCAAATTTGGTGATGAGAAGGTAACCTAAAACCACTCTTTCATAATCAGATATTTCCATGCTTGTAAAATTTCAATATGGCACAATAATTTTGTACTAGTTACTCTGCAAATTTTCATATTAAGTTTCACACACTTGACTAAGTTTTTCTAGGCAAAAAATAAAAGTAAATATAATGGAAGTGTATTATGTAGATGATATATGTGGCATCCCATTTGAAGCTAATTCAAAAGAAAGTTAGTGAATAAAATATTTTTCATTGTTTGATTGTTTGGTTTGGTTTGTGATTTTCCATGAAGGTTTTGCCATCATATTGGGAGTCATTTACCAATGAAGGGAAAGAGCAAGAGGAAGCTATTGTAAAAGCCAAGGAGAACTTGAAGTACTTGGAAGAAGAGCTAAAGGGAAAGAAATTCTTTGGGGGAGAGAAGCTTGGATTAGCAGATATTGCACTTGGATGGCTTGTACTCTATGGGAGTAGTGTGTTTGAAGATGTAGCCGGAATTAAATTGTTGACAGAAGAAGAGTTTCCACTGCTATCAGCATGGAAATTGACTTTTGCAGATGCTCCTATAATCAAGGATAATTGGCCGTCTAGAGACAAACTCATCGCCAAATTTAAGGCTACCCGCGAGGATCACCTTTTGAAAAAAGCACCAAAATGAGATGGCTTGGGACCATTTCATGAATGGAAACGAGGGGAAGAGAGAGGATCATGGATCTTAGTAAAATAAGAAATCTAAATGACATTGTGTTTAAGAGTAGTTTTTATCATCCCAAAGACACTTCTTCTTATTGTGTATGGTTTGGTTGAACTATATAAAAGTGCTTTTCTTCTCTCTTTTTTGGGGGTTATCGAAGCACTTCTGGTATTTTCTTGGAGATGCTCAAGTAAATGTTTTATGCGTTTCTATTAGCAAAGTGTTACTGAGTGAAAGGCACCAAACAAGTCCTAATTAAAGTCTATAATAACTTCTATGAAGCATTTACCAAACAAGTACAGGAAACAATTCCAGGAGAAACAGAACAACCTAGGGTGACTTCGTAGAGAAATACAGACGCAAACAGAATCTAGTAACTCAATTGGCTTGCAATTTGCAAATATGGAAGTAAAAATTCAATGGAATTCATATAATATATACCTTGTCTGCTGCATTCCATAACTTCTTGGGTTTTTACATCCAATATTTTTAACATTGCCTCGATTATATAGCAAAATTGGAGATACCAAAGTGTAAGGATAAGCACATACTTAACAGTTTTGTACGGGTCATAGTAACAGAGGCATTTTATCAAACACCTAGTCGGTGAGCTTTTGACATGCATTTTATTCGAAAATGTTCATTGGATTCTAACTTAATACTCACACCTGGAAGATCAAAGACTAAGCCGCCGAACCATCGAAGAGTATAAATGCAAATGCTCATTGTTCCGGTAGCTTATAAACCCTCTGCAACTACATTGAACACCATGGAGAAGGCATGAAAAAAAATGGCAAAAAGGGCAAAAAAATTTGGACCATTTCTCGATTTATGCGTGTCATCCTTGCGCAGGGGCCATGCTAATCTTCTCTGTATCGTTCCAGATTTTATCGGATGTCCCCGAGGGGACAAGCTTAGTTGCCCAACGTATGTATATAAAGTTTTCGAAAATAGTAGAGATTACCAATGTGGGACTTATGCTACCTTCTATTTAATAGTCAAGCCGCTTCTACCTTTAGTTATCGGGCCCAATAGTTAAAAACCCGATTTGCATCAGGATAATTCTAACAGTCAACGAGTTTATTATCTAGTTTGCCTTACCCTAAAACAACTGCAAAACAAAACCAATACCAACCACAAGAGTGATTCTGCTATCTGGTTGGGAAGGGCTCAAACAAAATTTCTCCACTCCATCTTTGAGACTTGCATGGGATCCATCCATGTAATGTGGCAGTACTGGATGCACTCGTTTTCGTAATCATAACACGGTTTCGAAGTATAGGATATTATGTAAAACATGAATTGTATTTGTAGATGACAAAAAATCTTACAGAAAATGTGTAAAAGCTCCACAAGTTAATGGTTTTAATGTCAAAGCCAGTTACAATATCAGCAACTGATCTATAATCTTCTGCAACTAGGGAAACAAACGATAGCCGATTCTACGCAATGTACGGAAAGCTTCATGTCTGAATTGTGGCCCCAGTGTAGTTGAGTTCTGCAAGACATACAAGTTGTAGTCCATAATTCATGCAAGAAAGAAAGAAAGAAATACTCTTAAATTTTATTAGGGCCATACTTTAGTCATTGAAGTTTGTAGGCCAACTTTTCATACGCATTTCATCACCCCCAAAGACTCAACATTCAGTCTCTAAACAATCAAATACTTGGAAAAAAGCATCGTTTTAATACAGAAAAGTGATTTGAAGATGGAAACTAGAGAGTGGAGTTCATGTATATTGGTTTTATTGAACTAAAAGAAACAAAGTTGAATGGAGCCTCTCTCAACACTTTGAACCAAGCAAAACTGATATTGAATTGAATTGCAAGCAACACCAGCAATTCCACAGGAGTTCATCATTGAAGAAGTGCAAACTTGATCAATTTTATAAGGGCCAAAGTAACAGAGTCATTTCATCAAACAGCTGGTAGGCGAGCTTTTGACATGCAGTTCATTATTGAAAAAATATATTGAAGACTCTCTCAGTCACTGAACATCAAATACTGGCCATTGATGCTTTTTCTAAAGCTAGAAAAGTAGATTCAATGCAAACTTTCACTCGAACCTGCAACTTGAAGATGGGATCGTTGGAAAAGCAAGCGCAAAAAAGGCCAAAAAAATTTGGACCATTTCTCGATTTATGCGTGTCATCCTTGCGCAGGGGCCATGCTAATCTTCTCTGTATCGTTCCAATTTTATCGGATGTCCCCGAAGGGACAAGCTTAGTTGCGCAACGTTTGTATATAAAGGTTTTGCAAATAGCGGGGATTATCGATGTGGGACTTAGGCTACCTTCTATTTAATAGTCAAGCCGCTTCTACCTTTAGTTATCGGGCCCCAAGCCCAATCTCCAACACACACTCTATGTTATTTAATTATTGGGCCTTACATTGTGAAAATAATTATAGCCCCAATTTCATATTGCAAACATCCTAGGACTTCTTGATTAACTTTGACCTGAACTTTGGAGAGTTTTTTCCACGTACAAAAATCCCCAGTGCCTTGTACAGATCTAGTCCCTATATCAAACCACCCCAGTCATTTCTCCATTCCAGGTATTAATCTTCGGCTTAACCTCTCTTTCATGAGAAACTAAGCTCCAATAGTTTAAAACCAGATTTGTCACAGGATAATTCTAACAGTCAACGGGCTGCAAAACAAAACCAGCACCAACCACAAGAGTCATTCTTCTGTGTGGCAGTCCGGCAGCACACACACAAGGGAGGGATCAAGTCGTATAGCCACGTGGTCCAGACTACCGTATATAAGAATTTCTACAACCACGGCAGCCTTTGCCGACGATGTTGGTGATGGAGCCACAACACAACTGATATTTGAACCAAACTGAAATAATGATAATAGTAAAAGATTGTTTGCTTCTTGTCATGGCTGTTTTGAGCAAAATGAAATGCATCAAAACTCATTGTGTCTAAAATTAATCTCTGAATTATAGGATATTGGTATAGCCATGAAGTGAGAACAAAAAGGCCTCGCTTTGGAGTAAAAGACTTGTTGCTTCCTCCTAAAAAGTTATACACTACCTACATAACTGCACTAATCATCAGGAACATATATACATCACTTCTCTAATCAACACTCCAGAAATCCGATCCAATGGGAAAAGGTAATTAAAAAACTTAACCATGTTGACTTTCTTTCTGAAAATAAATATTTTGAACACACAACAAAACCCCTTATATGCAACAATGAACAACACTCAAAGTGTTTGCTTGCCATCTTCATCCATGGTAGAAACTGGCATTTTCCATAACTTGGAGTTCTTCTTCGGGTCATCGGTAAGACTGAGATATGTATCCTCTTCTTTGAATGTTCTAATGAATTTTTTAGCACCCATCATGATAAGCCTTTCAACCATGAACAATTGGTAGTTATTTCCAATCACGGGATCCAAAATGTGGCTATAGTTTGATGAGTAAGCCAATTTGTATCTGCACATAGGGGTCAGAAATAAGAATCAAGGTCAGATGCGATGTTGTATGATAACTTTAATCCCGAGAACAGTTCTTTAGAGGCAGAAAGGACCCTTTTGATGCACAGGTATAAGGACTGTCAATTCACAAAGCAGTTTACCCCACTTGACATGAAAATATATTAACATACAAATAATACCTCTGCTCCTTCATAATAAAGAAATGTAAACACATGAAAATTCAGTTTCCATTGTAAAACTTGAACCAGTGTTGGAAGCTCCCAGTTAAGAAATAGTAACAGGAGGAGCATATTACAGTAGTTCAACAATCACTCATAGTGACATGTGAAAGATTCTCTCATCAATATTCAGAACTCCAGTATTAAATAATTTAAGCTCATAAAATTTATCTTTTGTCCCGACTACTATAGTATCAACCAACTGAAAAGTTCTTAGGTGAAAGAAAAATAATAAGTAATTTGAATCATGCACATTTTCTGTCAATGTTATCCTAGACATTTTCTACCAATGGTAATCCTGAGCTTAAATTTCATACCCAACCAAGCAGTCCTCAGGGATTATTAGGTTAAAGTGTAACTTGCTAGAAGAAAAAAACATGAAAGAATGAGAGAGCAACCTTTAACAAAGATGCACGGAAAATTGTTGGTTGTAGCATGTAAACATACAGATTTTCATCTTTAAAGTAGATGGTCCAGAGAACATGAGAAGGATGTACCTGACTGAGAGAGGCGAAAAAAATCCTGGCGTCCTTTCATTTGAAGCAATAAAAAGAGTTCGTCCAGGTGGGACCCATTTTTCAATTCTGTGGAGAATAAACTCTGGGCGTGTATCCCTGTCCAGATGAGGATGCAGGGTCCTGTTAACACCAAACCTGTCCTTCCTGGTCTTAATTTTATCGCCACGACGAACATGAATTGCATCATAATCACCAAGGAGTGCCTTAATCTGTGGAAATTTGATCAAAGTCTGTAGTGGCACTGACATGTACAGGAAATAATTTGAGGGCACAATGCAGAAACAGAAGGACCTATGGTAATTTTGCGGAAACAGTTACATACAAAGATAAAATTCTTTCTTCAAAATCAAACTGCTATAACGAACTTATTATATACTACATACTACAAACTTAAGCAAAATAGAATCATAAAGAATTAAAATGCAGACCCATATATCAGGAATATTGTGCCTCCTAGCTATTTATAATTTTATTCCATGATGTTGACCACAACCACAACCACCACCACCACCAACACATACTGTAAATTATTTTTTATGCGATTGTAAAGAGGGGGTGTGACGCAGCACAAGCAATAAAGGTTTCAAACGAAAACCTTGAGTAACAAGGGAACTGGATTCCACCAGAAAATTAAGAGAAACTCTCTTTGATTAATTGTATTAAAATCTGAAGTGTACAAAAACGTTAGACGAACCCGTCTAAATACAACTCTCAACCCTTGTAACTGCTAGGGGAGTTATTACAGATAACTGAAAAACAGAATTAATTCGGAGACTTAACTACGTAACTCCGAAACTGAAAAAAACAGAATTTATTTTGGGAATTAACTATGTAACTCCGAAACGGAAAAAACAGAATTTATTTGGAATTAACTTCGAACTTTGACTGCAGTTTTGAACGGCCAAACGACTTCAGAACGCCAAAATCCATCATACATCACAGCAAAGCTGTGAGTTTGACTCGTGGCATCGTTCCCTTTCCGAAAAGGTATTTTGCGCCCTAATCGGAGCTCGGACGACAATTCTGCAAATTCCCACCACGTCCTTTTCCTTGCTCAACCCCGATAAAACCTGCCACGATAAAATCTGCCATCTGTTCTACATCAGTCCCTTCCACCTCCGAAGAACTCGACCCCGAGTTATGATCTGGATAAAGAACCTCATCTTCACGGAACTCATATAAATCTGCAACATTAAAAATATTGGAAATTCCCATGGAATCTGGTAACTCAATAACATAGGCATTATCATTGATCCGTTTGAGCACTTTGTAAGGACCATATTTCTTCGGTTTAAGCTTGCTGTAAGTGCCAACTGGAAATCTCTCCTTCCTCAGAAATATCATCACAGAATCGCCTTCTTGAAACACTTTAACACGTCGATGCCTATCCGCAGCAGCTTTGTACTTAGCATTTGTTTGCTCAAGTTTCTGCTTGACCTCATCTCGAACGGCTACCACTTCCTCAGCCAAATTTTTCGCTGCCACACTGGTTTGCTGGCCTCTAGGCAGTTTCACCAAATCTACAACATGGTTAGGTATAGCAGTATAAACAATGGAAAATGGAGACCTCCCAGTAGCACTATGGACTGCACTGTTGTATGCAAACTCCACCTGCGGTAACGCATAATCCCATTGTTTCGGCTTCTCTCCACAGACGCTTCGCACCATATTGCCCAATGTTCGGTTTGTAACCTCAGTCTGGCCATCAGTTTGGGGATGGGCAGTGCTGCTACGATTCAAAGTAGTCCCAAACAGTTTCCACAAAGTGATCCAAAAATGGCTCAAGAACTTGGTGTCACGATCAGATGTAATGGATGTAGGAACCCCATGCAAGCGAACAACCTCCCTGAAAAACAGTTTGGCTATATTTGATGCATCGGCAGTCTTTTTGCAGGCTATGAAATGCGCCATTTTTGAGAACCGATCAACCACCACAAATACAGAGTCCACTCCCCTTTGTGTTCGGGGCAATCCGAGGACAAAATCCATAGCAAGATCCTGCCAAATATCGTTAGGAACTGGTAATGGCATATATAATCCAGTGTTTTGTACCTGCCCCTTCGAAGTTTGACAAATGTAGCACTTGCGCACAATAGTTCCAACATCACGTTTGAGCTGTGGCCAATAAAATCTCTCCTCCATCAATGCAATTGTTTTGTCACGGCCTAGGTGGCCACTCAATCCTCCACCATGCAAGTCCCGAATGAGCTTCTCCCTCAAAGAGGAAACTGGAATACACAGCTGGTTGCCTTTGAACAAATAACCTTCATTAAGAAAGTAATCTACCATTGGCTCTTGATTGGTGCACTTTGTCCAAATTTCCCGGAAATCGTCATCTCCTGCATATAATTCCTTCAGACATTCAAACCCCACAACTTCCTGAGTCAGCGTGACTAATAATGAAGCTCTTCTACTCAGTGCATCCGCCACACGATTTGTCTTGCCGGAAGTATGCTTGATAACGAACGAAAACTTCTGCAAAAAAGTCATCCATCTAGCATGCATTTTATCAATATTTTTCTGGCTGTTAATATACTTCAATGCTTGATGATCTGTAAACAAAACAAACTCCTTCTGGATAAGATAGTGCTCCCACTGCTTCAAAGCTCGAACAACCGCATAGAACTCTTGGTCATAAGTACTCCACTTTTGACGTGCATCGCTCAACTTTTCAGAAAAGAATGCAATTGGCCGCTTGTCTTGTGAAAGCACAGCTCCGACTCCCACACCGCTGGCATCACATTCAACTTCGAAAACTTTCTCAAAGTTTGGAAGAGCTAGAACCGGTGCGGTGCAAAGATTTTCTTTTATTTCTGCAAAGCTTCTCTCTTGCTCCTCTCCCCAGCTGAACCGGCCCTTCTTCAAACACTCTGTGATAGGTGCAGCAACGGTGCTAAAATGCTTCACAAATCTTCTGTAAAAGGTGGCCAAGCCATGGAAACTTCGAACTTCAGAAACTGTCTTTGGAGCTGGCCACTCAAGGATTGCCTTGATCTTCTCGTCATCTACCTGGATACCATTCTCACCAACAACAAAACCCAAGAACAGTAGCTTATTTGTGCAGAAAGTACATTTTTTTAGGTTCACATACAGCTTATTTTCTCTCAAAACATCTAAAACTTGTCTCAAATGCACAAGATGTTCTTCTTTTGTGGTACTGTAAATTAAAATGTCATCGAAATAAACAACGACAAAAGAACCAATAAATGGTCGAAGAACCTGATTCATGAGTCGCATGAAAGTGCTAGGCGCATTTGACAATCCGAATGGCATCACCAACCATTCAAATAATCCGTCCTTGCTCTTGAACGCTGTTTTCCATTCGTCTCCAGGTCGTATGCGAATCTGGTGGTAACCGCTTCGCAAATCTATCTTGGAAAACACCCTTGAGCCGCCAAGAACGTCCAGCATATCTTCTAACCGTGGAATGGGAAACCTGTACTTGACTGTTATCTTGTTGATTGCCCGGCTATCAACACACATTCGCCAAGTCTTGTCTTTCTTTGGAACCAGCAAAACAGGAACTGCGCAGGGACTCAAACTCTCCCGGATAAATCCTTTCCGCAGTAATTCTTCAATCTGTTCTCTTAGGATGTCATTCTCCTTGGGGCTCATCCGATAATGGGGCAGATTCGGAAGGCTAGCTCCAGGCACCAAGTCAATTTGGTGCTGTATGTCTCGCATAGGTGGCAGCTCGTTTGGCAGATTTTCAGAAAGTAATTCCTGAAATTGATCCAAAATCTTCTGCACATCTTGAGGAATGTCACCTTCTCCTCTGCCAATTTTCAACAACCCCTTCAACACCAAGGGACAAAAACACTCCGCTTCTTTGACAGCCTCGTTCAACTCCTGCTCGTTGCTAATTAGGGTTAGGAAACTAGAACTCTTCGTCTTGGGCTCAACAGGTTGCTTTGAGGGCTGTGTAGTTGCCATTGCAATTTTCCGGTTGTTCCAAGAAAACAGAATGACATTATCTCGTCCCTTGAAAGTCGCATCCACATCAAATTGCCAAGGTCGCCCTAACAAAATATGGCATGCATCCATGTCAATAACATCACATAATACTTCATCCCTGTAATGCTTACCAATAGACAGTGGCACTCGGCAAGTCTCAGCTACACGAACCGAAGGGCCTTTTTTAACCCACCCTAGTGAGTAAGGGCTGACATGAGGCTCCGTAGATAGCTGCAAATACTCCACCAATTTCTTTGACACAAAATTCTCGCAACTTCCATTGTCGACGATCACATCACACACCTTGTTTTTAATTGAGCAGAGGGAACGAAAAATACTATGACGCTGCCCTTCCTCCTTTGGTGCCAAAAGAACTCTCTGCAAAACCAAGGTAATCTTCTCCATTCCTTCCTCAACTGCAAATTCAGCCCCTGCATATTCATCTTCCCCGACTTCATTGTTTTCTTCATCTTCATCGGCTTCTTCGATAAAATTAGCCTGCTTCCGCTCTGGACAAACGTTAGAACGATGCCCTGGTTTTTGGCAACGGTAACATATGTCTGTCATGGGCTTAGCATACGGATTCTGGGACTGGTTTCGGGGCTGCCCTCTGTTGTAGTTCCGGCTGCTGCCTTCGTTGAAATTTTTGTTTTGGCCAACTGTTGCTGGTTTTGTCGATCCTCCAATATTCTGCTGCTGTGCTTTCCCCTTATCTCCTGAGCCACTAGAAGCACCAGCAGTATATTCAGAGGCTTCCATCGTGTTCCTGCGGAAGTTGGGTTGGCGTTTCTCCTTCTCCAACAATTCAGCCTTCAATGCCATGTTAATCGCCTCCTGCACAGTCCATATATTCTGCATACCAATTTTTTCCTGGATGGAAATCTTCAGCCCATTGTTGTACCTCGCGACCTTTTGATTGTCAGTCTCTGTCAAATGGTTTCGCTCCGCCAAACGCATGAATTCTTCGGTATATTCAGAAACTGAACGGGTGCCTTGCGCACAGCCTAGGTACATACGGTAGAGAATCTGCTCATAATCTGTGGGCAGGAATCGTTCCATCATCAGCGACTTCATCTTCCGCCATGTTCGAACCCGCTGCTTTCCTTGCCTCTGTCGTAAATTTTGCAATTGATCCCACCAAACAGCCGCTGTAGCTTTTAGACGGAAAGCTACCATCTTCACCATCTTATGCTCAGGAACCTCCATAATATCGAAAAACCTCTCCACTTCTACAAGCCAATCCAAGAAGTCTTCAATCTTCAAATTTCCCCAAAAGTTGGGAATTTCTGCTTTAATCCGATAATCGCCAAAATTCTCGTAATTGCGATTACGATTACGAGGATTATTAGCCGGTGGTGGTGGTTCTTCAAGTTCTTCTTCTGACTCTGACTCACTATCTGGAATAAGTTGCCTCCTATTATCTCTTCTCTCGCCATCTCTACCTTCTCTTCGATTGTCATCCCTGCCTTCTCTTCTTTCGTCATCTCTGCCGCCTCGCCTATGGTTGCCACCAAGAGCTTGCAACAACAACTCTCGCATCTCCCCAAATTGGGTGGTTAGGTTGTCGATCCGTTGGTTTTGAGCGTCCAAATCCGCTCGAGTAATTGTGGCTGGGAAATCAGCTTCACGATCACCCATGATAAGACAAGAATACCGAGACGGGAGAGACCCGCTCTGATACCACTTGACGCAGCACAAGCAATAAAGGTTTCAAACGAAAACCTTGAGTAACAAGAAATCTGGATTCCACCAGAAACTAAGAGAAATTCTCTTGGGATAATTTTGATTAAAATCTGAGATGTCCAAAAACGTTAGACGAACCCGTCTAAATACAACTCTCAACCCTTGTAACTGCTAGGGGAGTTATTACAGATAACTGAAAAACAGAATTAATTCGGAGACTTAACTACGTAACTCCGAAACTGAAAAAAACAGAATTTATTTTGGGAATTAACTATGTAACTCCGAAACGGAAAAAACAGAATTTATTTGGAATTAACTTCGAACTTTGACTGCAGTTTTGAACGGCCAAACGACTTCAGAACGCCAAAATCCATCATACATCACAGCAAAGCTGTGAGTTTGACTCGTGGCATCGTTCCCTTTCCGAAAAGGTATTTTGCGCCCTAATCGGAGCTCGGACGACAATTCTGCAAATTCCCACCACGTCCTTTTCCTTGCTCAACCCCGATAAAACCTGCCACGATAAAATCTGCCATCTGTTCTACATCAAAATTGAGGAGAGAATTTATGGATATATATAATTGTGAGGAAATTACTTTTATATAATACCCTTTATTATATATTTTATTTTGTAATCTTCTTAAGTCCCCGCCAATGGGTCTAGCCTAATGAAAAAAGGTTTTGACTTGTAGATTAATGATATCTTGTTTGAATCTCCATGGTACCTTAGTAGTGTGTGTGTGAAACCCTCCTTTCCCTTATAGTAAACTATCGCTTGTATTAAAAAAAAAAATAATAATAAATTCTTCTTAAGTCCCCTTCATTAAAATTTCCAATTTGAGAATAGTCGTTTTCTTTGCATTTTCTGAGAAGATGAATTATGGACATTCATCATTTAGGTGTGGTTGTAATTTGAATTCTAAAATGACCGTTAAATTGATTTTATTTTGAATGTCTAAGTATGATAATAGCTTTCGTGTAACCTACATTAGCACTCCAACTGAACTTCTCTTTTGACCCTCTAGGCTTCATTTTTAATTACCAAAAAACAAAATTATTTTTCTTTCGTCATCGAAGTGGTAAGTAATATGTTTTACAGGTTCGTGTTCTTATTCAATATGTTGACCTTTCCTTTCCTTGACAGCCAGACGCGTACTTTTGTGTACTTTGTCAGTTTAAGCTTTTGTGTACCACATATGTACGTTAATTACTGATCTTGAACTACTAATAATACTTCCAAGAAATAAATAAAAAAAGCAATGTGATCGAATTCCTCCTTCTCCTAATATCATTTGTATAAAAAAGCAATGCTAAACAAGAGCAAAAATACCGAGTCAAGCAAAATAATTAGATTCTATTTGCTAATTAATGCATTTGTTTATTACATTCTGGGTCATCTTTAGTAGAGGCGCACCTAAATACACAACTCTCAACCCTTGTAACTGCTAGGGGAGTTATTACATTAAAACTGAAAAACAGAATTTATTCCGAAAATTAACTACGAAACTTTGAATGCGGTTTTGGAAGGCCAAACGACCTCAGAATGCCAAAATCCATCATACATCACAGCAAAGCTGTGAGTTTGACTCGTGGCGTCGTTCCCTTTCCGAAATGGTATTTTGCGTCCTAATCGGAGCTCGGACGCCAAATCTGCAAATTCCTGCTATGTCCCTTTTCACTTCTTCGCTCCAATTCTTCTTCACTCCAATTCTTCTTCAATCAATTAGAAAATCCCAACGATACGCCTTCCTTCTTTTCCTAGTGTCATAAGTGACCATATTTCGTCCTACATCAGACTCCTTCACTTGTAAAGAACTCGACCTCGAGTTCTCGTTAAAATGAACTTGAGTAGGCATAGAACTTGATGTGTAGATAAACTCTTCAATTTGTAGAATTAGGACTTGCTCATATTTGGATGGAATAATCATATAATTAATTCCATAAACAAGATTAGAATAGGCTAGTTGAGAATCAAACTCCTTGTATGAATTATTTTCTTCTCCAAATACAGATTCATCCATGCCTTTAATTTCAGAGGCATCTGTTCTACATCAGGGTGGGGGGGTGGGTTACATGTTAAATCACATGTCCTGTTCAGCTATTTAGCGGTTATCTTATGCGCATCCTGGTCTCTAATTACTCAAAACACGCGTGTCTCTCATACCATTCAAATTTACCATCATTATCATATGATATACAGTGTTACTAAACTTGAAATAATTTCCAACTCTTAATTGTATTACCGTGATCCTTGATAAGTTACTGTGGTCTTTAATATTATGAATCATTCGACAACCATACTTGAAACAGATTCTTTGTTTTTTCCTTCCTTCTAACATGCACAGAAAGAGGAGTGCTAAGATATTATTATTCATCAAAATTCAATTTGCTTTAAAATGTAATCAATTATAACTTAATCCATTTCAAGTTCCCAAAATCTTACAAAATAAGATACTCGATATCTGGCGAAGATTAACCTAAATGAATAGAGCAGCTAAAGTTGAGGTAAAATTCCACAATGCAAGTTGGTGGGTACAAGTAGTCAGATAAATCAACAATTCAAGCAGCAATCAAACATCTTACAAGTAGCCACTATAAATTGTGAATACTAGTTCACAATCATACTCTAAACAGAACCTACAAACTTAAGCGACTAGAGAGTGATAGATATTGATGTGTTTCCCAGCAACAATTCCAACTTTAGTTACAATGCTGATTGACAGGCTGAAAAAATTCAGTACCCAATTACTGGAAGCTAGTTACAATGAATATAACTCAGAATCATGTTGCAGAATAAGAAAACAGAAAAAAGAGCATTTGTTTGGAAGCTTAATGTAATTGTATCAAATATGGAAATAAAACTTTATGGGATTCATATAATACATACCTTGTCAGCTACATTCCTTAAGTTCTTTGCTGCCATTGAGGGGAGAAAGGAGTATGGCAAAAGTATAGCACTACGGTCATTTCGATCCTTGCACTCCATAAACCTAAATGGCTATCATTATGAATTCCTCAAACAACCAAGATTGAAGTTTAAGTAATACTCACGTAACATAGCCAAATGAAACATATTTTAGTTTTCTGAACAAATGCAATCCAAATAATGGAGTCTTTCAAGAAATATAAGTGATTATTTTTTATAAAAAAAAAATATCAAACATCCTTATCAGGGCCATTGCAACAGGTTCATTTATAGTTTCAGAAAATATCTATAAGCATTGAAATAATAGTCTGCAAACTGTATTTGAAGGTCTGTCTTGCATTAACTAAAAACCACATTTAACTTTTCTTAGTAACAAAATGCAAGCACAACTTTTATCTCAATTCAAGTGACAGCCGCATCATTCAAACAAATAAGAAGAGGTTTTGTTCCCTCAAGAAAATCTTAAAGCTTCCAGCAATAAATGAAAAAAAAAAAAAACAGTTACCATGACAGAGGGCTTGCAGTTCTGTTTATCAGCAAAAGATTTGAGAAATGACTGTTCTCTTTGAGATCAACCCGACTAACTTGTTCCACATGAGCAACTCCTCTAGCTCCCAACTTCATAGTTGTTGTTAGCACCTGATACCACAGTTTTGAATTGTCTAAAATTACTGGTACAGTGTCCGATATGAGGTCCATATCATACAAAGAGTCCATGGAACAAGACTTTGCTGCCCACCTAACAAGTAAAAGGAAGCCAGTTCACATTGTATGCTTTGTGTACTGTGGTTAATAAAAATGTATTTACAAACACTATGGAGGGAAAGTACACATCTAAACCTATCACGTATCAATATTATATTTCTGAGGAGATTACAAACTTGAAACAAGAATTAATGCCATTTTCGCAAAAAGTAGCAGTGGAATTCTTCCACAGGCCTAAAAAAATAAAATCTCTTCAAACCCAATAAAGAAGTTCAAAACAAAAAAAAAAAACTTACATTTCTTCTGAATTTGCAGTATTTGAGCGGCGAAGGATCCCTTTCTTATTGTGTATTGGGTTGATACACATTCTGGAAGGCATTACAAAGGTTCTGCAAACAACAGCAGTAAAATACTACACAAGATTACAAAGGTACTCAACAGATATGAACCAGGTGGCGAAGTTCATGGAAATTGGGTGAGTAGCTCTGTACTAACTATGATCAACTTATTCCAAATTTTATGAAGCAAATCTAGACATATGACAAATGGTTCATGCCAAATCCTATTCATAACCCATTAAACTAATCCTTATCATAATAGAGCCAAATTTCCACAACTCTCGGTTTTCCTCGGCAACCACACAGAGCATAAACTCTAAAAACAGAAATAAAAACAAAAGGAGAAAACAAAAAGAAATCTAATAATCCAAAACATGACATGAAATACCTCTTAAGGAACATGGCCTCTTCAAGAGCACACCGGAGGCTGGACTCCTGGTGGCCCAGACCTTCACAGGATTCACAGTGCTTTCCAGGGCAATCAATTCTGTTACCCCAGTAGAGGAACTTTTCGTGGCGATTCTGGTCATTGTTCTCGGACTTGGTCACACTTTCTATGGCTTTTGGGGAGGATACAGGGTTTGTGGAAATGAGAGAGGCAAAGAAGAAGAGGAGCGCAATCGCAGCTATGCAGAAGGCAGGGAAGATGATTGAGGAACTGGGTCCCGACTTGGACCTTAGGGTTCTGTGAAATGCCATTAGAGTTGGACAGGTGCGGAGCCAGGATTGTTTGTTTGCCTGGACTAAACCTCTAAACAAAATATAATTTGTTCTTTCTCAAGAATAGAAGGGAAAATAATCTGTGAAATGCAAAGTATACAACTATTCCCTGTGAGTTTACGAGTCATCAGCTCCCTTTTACACACTAAGGACAATTGCAAATGTAGCAAGACGAGAGGCGAAAATAAGGCACTGATGAATATACAGGTATGTGGATGTAGATAAAGCATAAGTGGAACCATAAATCGAGCACTTACTTCCAGAACTCTAAATGAAATGAAAATAGGGTTGCTCACAGAATCTGTGCAAGCAATGTATCCTGGTTTCTCTTGATAGTCTATTCAGGCACAAAGTAGAAAATCACCTCAACATACAAGGGGGCAGCAGCCAGGAAGAAACCAACAATAAACCTTCAATAAAGTAGAAATCTTTTTTAAGTTTGCACAATACAAAGACCAATTTGCTCAATAAAATTAAGAATTTATCTATTCATGTTGTATTAAGCACCTAGTAATCAGATGGGGATTAATTAGTTAGTTTAGAATGGGGATTAGTTGGTTAGCTTAAAAAGTTAGTTCATTTAGTAGGGTGTTGATCAACAAATACATGTCATTCTGTAATATGTTCTTCATTGATTAAATGAATAAAAAAAGTCAGTTCTGATTTTGTTTCATACTAAACTCTTTGTTACGATCTTGGAAGGAAGAGGTTCAACCATGCTGTCGATTTCAAGTAAGATTTCATGGTGTGCAATTTTACAACATTATAAAGCCTTGATCAACCTGTACCATGTCTTGACAAAAGATTTCCATGGCTAAGTATCATCCTACCCAAGGGTGGAAGCAGGGCTCAGTTAGGCTGGGCCAGTGCAGGATCATGAAAAATAAAAAATTGAGTGCTAATTTTTAGGAAGCTCGCCCATCCTAGCGAAAACAACCCCATACTACTGCAACAAAACTTAGCCTACCCTCTCCTTGAGTTCACTAAGACACAAGTCCTTCGGTTCGAGTCCCGGGCAACCCATTACAATTAGCATATGGAAATCGTGTGTATATAAATCCAATTTTTTAAATTCATTTCAAATCCACCCACACATAATAGATGAAAAACAGAAAGTTATAGCCCATGTCTATGAAAATTCATGTTTCGGCTCTCGATCCTACCATGCTAGAGGAATTAGAACCTTCCCTTTTTCCCCCGGACCATTTAGAAATTTTGTATTCAAGGACATAAAAACCAAACCCACTGTAAATAACAACAGGATAAATGCCTATGTCTATCAAATTGTGCAAGGAAGGCCACACTTCCCTACCCGTCATACAGTAAATTGACGTTTTTGTAATTTGCGTAATGTGAATATGATTAAATCTGATATTTCAATCCAAAATCTAACAATATCCTGAGCTACATTGTCAATGTCATCTTAAGCAGAAAAGAAAATACAAATATGTGCAAACAATTTGAAAAAATAAAAAACAGATTCAAACGGAAATATCGATCTAAACTTATTTCCACCACAAAGTTTGATCCAAACAAGTTTTTTTAATTTCTCAACCCTCTGTTCAGGAATTCTGTTGAAATTTTGAACAAGAAAACAAGAAATGCCTTTGGAATTGCCGAACTCGGAAGTGTGGCACTGTGGGAGTGAGGGTGAGAGTGACAGAAAGGAAAGATCAAAAAGAAGAAGGGGGAAGTAAAGGCTGCTCGTCATGGGTTGGCTCACCGGCCTGCTAGGCGTGGGTGTCTTACTAAAATTCTTAAATTTGTGCGTGGGTGTCCATAGTAGCAGGCCCAAAGGTTAAAAAGGCAGGAGCTTTCGTTCATTCAGTTATGAAAAGGCTCAAGCTTTCATGCCTGATATTTTGCTGCTGCTCTAGCCAAGTATTAAATATGCAAGTCAACTCAAAAGTCAAACATTTTTCAGCTTGAAGCCTTCAACTGTCCACTGTCTCCTGATCCTGTAATTTACAAACCCAACCCATCATCCTCAACGGTCAATTAACTCCAAGACATTTGAAAATCAAGCATGGCGAACGATGTCCGTGAGATCTTTGTGGTTTCAGCAGCTGGTTACAAACCCAACCCATCACCCTAAACCCGCCATCCCCTCCTCCTCTTTCACCCGCCAAAACCCGCTCGCCAAAATCCTCCATCTCACAGCTTCCCCGGGCCCACCCAGCCCCGGTCCCGACCCGCTCCGCCACAAAGCAGCACAAGAGCTCCACGACCACCTCGCCGACCTTTCCAACATTCCCGATATGCCCCTCCCTCTCTGCGCCATCGTAGACTTTCAAATGGGCTGGACCAAGGAGGTCTTCTGGAAATTCCACGTCCCAGTGATCGGATTCTTCACATTCGGCGCGTACGCCGCCGCCATGGAGTGGGGCTCGTGGAAGGTCCGAGCCGGAGACATCCGACCCGACGAGCTCCGCCTAATTCCCGGCCTACCCGATCACATGGCTCTCACGATTTCCGACATTAAAAGAAGGCCAGCCGGTCCCCCACGTGGCGGTGCGAACCGGCCCCCCGGCGGAAGAAGAGGGGGTGGTCCGCCTAAACCGGGAGACCGGCCTCCGTGGGTCCCAGAGATAGAAGGCTCCGTCGCTCTGATGTTCAACACATGTGACTTCCTGGAACGTCCGTTCATCGAGTACATGAAAACCCAGATGGGGATGCCAGTATGGGGCGTGGGCCCACTCTTGCCTGAAACGTACTGGAAGCCGTCGGATTCACTGCTCCTCCCTGAGCGCCCGATGAAACCACACCACTGGCGGCAATCAAACTACATCGAAGACGACGTCGCACGATGGCTAGACTCAAAGCCCCGCGGGTCCGTGTTATACGTGGCATTCGGCAGCGAAGTGGGTCCCACAGTAGAATAGTATCCCCATCTGGCCAGTGCATTGGAGGAGTCGACCCGGCCGTTCATCTGGGTCATCCAATCCGGGTCGGGTGACGGGTACTACCCAGATGGGTTGAACAGCAAAGCGGGTGAGAGGGGTTTGATAATATGTGGATGGGCACCGCAAGTGTTGATACTGAGCCATAAATCGACAGGTGGGTTCTTATCACACTGTGGGTGGAATTCAACCGTGGAAGCCATTGGCCGTGGGGTGCCCATTTTGGGGTGGCCCATTAGGGGTGACCAGTTTTACAATGCCAAGTTGGTGGCAAAGCATCTCAAGGTTGGCTATGGAGTTTGTGAAGATTTTACAGAAATGGTTAAGAAAGAAGACATAGTGGAAGGGATAGAGAGGTTGATGGGCGATGAAGGGGTGAAGAGACAGGCCATGGAGATAGGGAAGAGGTTGGAGGACGGGTTTCCTGCGAGCTCCGTGGCTGCATTGGCTGTTTTTGTGGATTTTATTAGGCCAAAAACCAGCTCAGAAGTTTACAGAATAGTTTGACGGGTCCAGTATGGTTTTTGAAGCCTTGGAAGTTTTGATGGGGTCGTTGGTGATTTGTAAGTTGTTCTGGCTATCCTCTTTTTTTTAATAGATAAATAGTTGCGCACATTGGTTGTATAATTTGGGGTGGTTGGATTATTGTAGGAGTTCCCGTAAAACTTTGTAAGTAATTAAAAACACCATCTTGGGGTTCAAAAGTTGAGTACTCTAGTATGTCCATGAATGAGAAGATAGTTTTATGAAAGGAAAAGAAACAGAGTGATTCATTCATATTTTGTAAACTTATGATTCAAGCCCCAGTTTCTAGCACTAATTTTTGTTTTGTAAAAAAGGCCACCCAATAACTACAATAGTCTTGCATTTTGTTGGCGCTAAATCTGAACAGATAGAGATGAGTGCAACTTACAAGAGATGTGGACGATCTAGGAGATCGATTGAGTTGTAAATGGAGATTCCTCCTGTCTTCAGATGCTGATCCTGAATAGAAGATAAGCGAAGCTCGTGAGGTCTATGGAACCGGTGTGGAACCAGCCTAAGACCCTCCGATGCTCAAGTAAGATTGTTTTTAAGAGCTCTTGCTGTTGACCATATAGAAGTATAAAAGTCAAGCTGAAAAGTCTTACCCCTGTATTGTAGTGGAGGGGCTTATTTATAGGAGGCATCTTGTATGATCTTAGTACTCATTTCCGATGTGGGACTCGTGGGAGGGCCCTATGAGGTTGACACGAGTATTTAGATATTTCTGGCAGGTGCTTCGAGGCTAATTCTGTAGAATCGGTATGGGATACTGATTGTAGGCTGTGTTGGGCCTGTAGCGGCTGTATGTGGCTTTGAGACAATGCCATCGGTAGCCGATGCCGATTGTTCGAGGCCTTGGGTACTTGGGTGAGCTGAAGTGATCCACGTGTCGTTGTATGAGTGGAGGGTCAGATATGGTACAAACAAAGCTATATATATATATTATTTATATCTAAGTATTTGAATAAGAATTTTATAGAAAAAGAAAAAACCACCTTTTTTAAATAACA